AGCAAAGAGGATGGGAGCAGGGATCTTGTGGCCGAAGAGAGTCGCTGCGGACGTGTGTTTAGTTAGCGGAACCGTTGAGCTTTCAGCAGAGGGGTAGGATTTGAAGGAGGGTATGGAACCAAAGACCAAATGGGGAGAGCGACTCAGGGAGTGAAGCGCGAGGGGATGATCGCAGAGACGCAGTAGAGCACTCACTGGTCATGTCGCGCACATTGGTGTCGACGAGGGTGCGAGGGATGATGCGCCAGCGATAGAAGGCCTCGCGATTAGCACGGTCTGTCCAGCCGAGGCCAGCATTGGAGTTGGCATAGAAGTAGGACCGGTCATTGAGTTTGGCTTTCGTAGACTCCTGCAGCTCCTCGGGGTGGACGGAGAAGTGCGGGACTGGATACTCGTCAGTCAGAGATGGAGGAGTGGGAAAAGAAAAGAGAAGTGCTCACGCTGTCCTGTCTCGCCACCCCTGCGGAATATCTCGCGCTGATAGAGGGAGAAGTGGGGAGAGGGGCCTTTGGGCTTGTTAGTGGGATCCATCGCTTGTGTCTTGTTGGGTAGGGGTGTGGAAGACGGGGTGTCTGAGGACGAGAGGAAGGAGCAAAGGCTATTTATATGTGTAGAAGGAGGAGGGCGTGTATGACATCATTAGAATATGTGTGGAAGAGAGAAAGTGGGCTCGGAGGAATGGCCGGAACAGCGGCGGAGCGGGCTGTCGGTGCTCTGGCTGTATGCGCTCACTGTCACGACGCCGGCCTCCTGAAGCGGAGAGCTCAGAAGAGAGCCGTGCGGGGTGTCCGTGCCCTTGTCTGGCGCTGTGCTGCGACCGCACGGACACCCGCAGCGACTGGTATGTGCGACGAGACGCGCGGTGGGCGACGGAGGAACGACGCGTAGCGCGTGACGTCATCGACTCACGATCACATGCAGCAGTCGTGTCGCGAGTCGCGTTGACCGTTATACTTACAAAAATATCCAGAGCCTGTGTATATTGAAGGAAGAGTCCTACGTTGTGCTCACAAGAGACTGCGTTCACCCGCTGTGGAACTATACGTTGTCCAGCCTGCATATTCTGCCCAGGCTTGTGCTCATGTCGCTTTCCTCTCGGAACACCGTCGATTCTTCCGCCTACTAACTCTGCCGCACACCCTTCCCGGGCCCGAGCGCTGGGCTTGACCTTCTCCCGACTCCCGTCTGCTCTGCCGCATCACGCGCCTCCGTCGCTCGTGCCCGACGCCTCCTCCATCTCTGCTCACGGGCTCCCGTTCGTGCGCATCCATGATCCGTGAGCCTTCTTCCCGCCCGGCGGGTGGCCTATTACTTCGCTACCGGCCTTTGAATCATTCCATCTCGAGATCTCGCAATGCATGAGCAGCATGACTCTCGGTCTTGGAGGCGGCTTACGGCTCTGCGCGCCATAGCAGAATCACAGTCGAGAGCGGCCATTCCGTGTTTTCAACTCTGGCTTCCTGCCGTACGCAACAATTGAATGACACACGCTTCCCGGGCCGCTCTACCACGTCCGCGCGACAGGCAGGCTTCCACCATTTCCCTGCTTCGCTCTACTCCCCGGCCTCCAAGGACTCCCGGTATCAGCGCGACGGCACGCATCGCTGGCCCGCCTGGCGTCCGCCTGGGCCCTCACTGCGGGAGCAGCGTCAGCCACGGCCTAGTTCATCTATTTTATTATATCGGCACAGACCCCCAACAGCCCATACATACATTCCGCGGGCTGCATGAGGCAGTCGCGCCATGCCGCATCGCCAGGAGATGGGCGGTCGCTTGCGCGTGGCGTATACACCTCTCTGCAGGCTCGACGAACCGGCACAAACCATGCGCTGCATTATGATCGCGTTGTTGGCAAAACTGTTGCTGCTTGCTGTCCAACCAGATTGTAACCCTGATAGCGCTTGCCCTCTATTCGAATGGGGATGGCAAACGTTCCGTGGCTAACGTAGCAGTCACCTGTCGCTCAGTGCATGTCCCAGCAATGTCTGTCCTCTGGGAGACAATGTCGGGTCTTGCGCCGCTCATCTGCACACTGCCTCCCGATCATGTCGACGAGTATGAAGAAGTACCTGAGAATCATGAGAGTACCACCATCATTGTAAGTATCTACTCCCCAAGCCCCAAGATATTGACGACTGACATTATCGACGTAGGGTGTCAGTGGACATCGGCTAGATTCTAATGCTCGTCTAGCACTGAAAGCCCGACGTCTGGATCATCATGGGAGATTCATCAAGCATGTCACTATCCACAATGAGGACGCCTACTACGCTACCTTGCATGATCTATCTATCCACAAGGTCTCAGGATACCGCCTGCTACCAGAAGTGCGCACTCTCAACCTTCATCTTGATGCTGTGGGTGGACCAGAAGGCATATACATGCTCCTCGGGCCTCAAGTAGATACCATATACGTAAGTATCTTAACGGCTGACGTTGGACTCCCGTGGACCATGGTATTATTTATCAAGATATTTGCCATCTGTCGCAATCTACGGACACTGAAGGTCGACTTCGACGACTGCGATGAAGAGGGAATGTGTGTGATCCTGGACGCGATTCGAGCCGCCCGTCCCTCTCTCACGACTCTCCATCTCGGACTCAAGAATTGGCTGCATGCTTTTTGTTGCCCGCACAGAGACTCGATGGAGAGGCTGCTACGGGTCATCAGCGGCACAGTTCGCGATTTCTGCTCGACCATCCTCGTTGACCACCTCGCTGTGCCGACATTGCGTCACTTCAGGAACTTTCAGCATCTGGTAATCCATTAATCTTGCATGCTATATCATATCTCGCACAGGCAGACACTTTCTCCTTGCCCTCACTGCGTTCCTTTGAGATCATAACACACTGCACCTTTCTGGGCATGGCGCCGTTTTTGCGACACCTACAGGCGGAGCACCTTCATACGCTGGCTATCTTCCCCTTGATCTCACAAAACGCGGACTGTGAGGCGCACCTGAGAACATTCAATCAGTCGTTATCGACGTGTGCATTTTAGGAGGAACCTTCAACTGTCGCTATGCATCCTCGCCAATTCGCCTATGAAGGATGGCGGACACCTTACAACGTGATGAGCTCCTTGCTGGCGCTACCTAACCTGTCAGCGCCGTATCTTCCGCGGCAATGGGTGCAAGATGGCGTACTGGAAATTATCGCTGAAAATAGGCCGGATATCCAGCTGTTGCAACGTTGCGCTCTACACTCACGGGTGTTCTCTGACATACCTGATGCACCTCCCTCTTGTCCGTGGCTGTATTCAATCTCATAGTTGATGTCTGTTGTTACCTAAGCTATTTTTTGTGCGGCTTTCGTGAAAATATGTGCCGGTTACTTCCCAGTGTAGGAAAGCACACACGATCAGCTTTGGCTGTGAGAGCATACAGAGGACCAGAGCCTTTTGTACACACCAACGTTGTTGGAATAATCACCCGCCGCACACCCCTATGTCATTGTACTCTAGTTGACAGGTAATTGCCTTAGCATGCCGTGTCTACGTTCAATCAGCTACGTCCTCTGTGTTCTAATACCTCACAAAAATATCGCTACCAATTCTCCTTTTCCACCACCTCTATGTGCGGCTTCTTTTGAGCAATGGTCTGAGCCACCTTATCGGAGGGATACTGAAGAAACAGTCTTGAAATGCGAGGCAGATCGAACGACGGTTTCAAAGCTTTGTATGTAACGTGCTCGGCGAGACTTTCGTAAAAAGTCAAACCAAAGAGAGTCAAGGTGTTTCGGAAGGGAGATTGCTGCAGCTTCTTAGTGTGAACACGAAGCATCGTGGAGGTAAGTTGAAAACCCTCAAGATCAATGACGAGCCTTGTGAGGACACCTGAGCTGACGCTATCCAGGAACGACAATGAACGTTCGTCCAGGTGCTTTACACTGAAGCGCATGGAACGCAAGGCGGAGAAGGGGCGATGGATCCCTTCGAAGAGGCGAGGCTCGAGAGCCGTCGCGTCAAGGCAGATCCACACATCGCGGAGGTTTGGATTGGTCGCGAGTTTGATGACGCCATCCGCAGGCACTGGAATCTCGACAGACGAGAATTCTTGCACGCGGGAACACGTGGTGCGAAGGAGGTCGGTGATGGGTTTAGACGTGAACTTAGCGTCGCGGCGACCACCAATGAAACAGTTGTATGCAGAGAGGTGGAGGACACGCAGGTAGGTATACCTTGACTGTACCACTTGTATGAAGGAGCCGACGTGAATCGACCGGCCGTTTTCCATATTCATTCGGAGAACTTCTAGATTGGGACACATGGTGCACATCCTGGTGAGAAGGGACATGCCATACCTCAAGGGCTTCCACTGGAAGAACGCCTCGAACTCCTCGAAGTAGATCTCAATGTCTATCTCCACCAGCGCAGGCCCAAGAAGCATCTCATAACCCTGCATGTGATCGGGACAGCGAGGTATCTTGAGGACGCGGGTTTGTGGCAGGAGGAGGAAGTCGCTGGGGAGATGCGGCGCAAGGTATTCTAATGTAGTGGGCTCGAAGTCCTCCTGTGCAGTGCTAAGTTCTTTCACAAAGCGCGAGTAATACTCCAGGCGGGATGTGTCAAGTTGAATGGCGGCGGGATTATTGTATCGCAATGTGTCCCGTATGGCCTTTGAACACATTGTATGTCAGCCCTGGGGATTGAGTCAGAAATCGAAGATATCTCACGGTGCAGTCGAGATTGTGGCCATCCCAAAGGCTTTTCATCTCATGTTCAACCCAGATGTCATCTGGTGTCACAGGCCAAAAGTGTCTGGCATGTGAACATGGTGAACAGCTTGAACATCATACCACTGAAAGAACACCTAAGTTGAATAGGCAAGGCAAAGTCTAGCAGATTGTGAGAAGAAACAGACTAAACAAGGAAAGCTGATCAACTAAAAAGGAAAGCGGAGCGTGGGAAATTGCCATCTTAGGCAACTTTGATCAGGTGACTTTCCTAATGGGAACAGAAGCCCAGAATCAGGTCCTAGGCCAGTGCAGAATCCAGCTAGGCCAGCTGTGAGCCAATCTAGTGGTAATCCAGGCGAGGCGTAGGCCGAACCAGTCAGTAACTAGGCCAGGTGTGGGCCAAACCTAGAAAAACCCAGGTCAAGTGCAGGCCAATCCAGTAACACCTAGGCCCAGCCTAGGCCAATCCGGCAAATGCCCAGTTTCAACCCAGAATGAGAGAGAAATGCTATTGGCTCATAAAGCCTGCCTTACCAAGCGAGCATGAATTGCTATTGGAGGAGAGAATCTGCTTATGAAATAGTGAGGAGTGGTGAATAAATAAGGCAGAATCAAATTGTCGCGACTTGAGGTCAAGCGACTGGGGAATACCTAAAGGCTGGGGGCGTCCGACTGGTTCTTACCGAAGCGATGGTGAGCGGCGCTCAAACCTAAGGCTAGGGACAAGAATGTATTAGTTAGTAAGTAAAGGAAGTAAGTACAGGAGAGCTTACTAACCTAGGGACAAGAGGTCGAAACTGAGGTCCCTAGGGCAGCAGAGGCCGGCTTATATACAGGGGTAGATAAGGGCAGGCTGTGCGCACTGGTCCGTGCACAGCTGGTCCGTGTGCAGCATGCCGACACGGCCACGGGGGCCGGTGAGTCAGAGCGGCTGTGTCAGCGGAGCCCGAGCTGTGCTGTGCACTGCCGTCCTATCTAATCTGATCGTTGATAGGCGCCAAGCCCCTCTGGGCCCCGATTCACCTCTTTTCGGCAGTTGCATCCCGCCCGGCACTTCGACTCAGTCCCCCAACACTTCGATTTCGACTTCGACGCTCTTCGACACCTTCGACGGTGCGCGACGCTTACTCGAAGCTCGGCACGGTCTTCCCGATGCCTCGTGCGTAGATCTCGGAACGTCTTCCGCATTCGGCGAACAATAGGGCCACTCGACGCCGCTCGGCCAAGCGCGCGCTTCGCTCCAAGCCACACCGAAGTAGCCGGTCTTTCCCGATTAGGTATCGAACCTCGCGGCATGCCTTCACGACGGCTACCGGTCCGAAGTGGCCATATGTTGCCCTTCATCTCCGCATTCGGCATGACGTCACTCTACTGATGGACTTGGTATGTGCCCCTCGGTGAGGCAGCTTCTTGAGGAACAATGCAAAGCCCCTTGTACCCGTATGCCACTCTCGAATAGTCGTAGCATCCTGTGTAGTATAAAATCTGTCGTAGTTCTCCCCAAAAATACAAGATCCGATCCCCCCCCCTCGAGTTCAGAACTCATAAGTCGAGTTCACCCCGCGTCTAAGCTTTCAACTGCGTCACTTCGTCCCTCGCCGCGTAACTTCAAAACCTCGTCCACTGCGTTTACTCGTCGATACCGTCTCGACGAACCCTTCGACTTCGACTATTGTCAAAGAAACTGCGAACCGCGCCCTAGCTAAGTACACCCTATCGAATCGTGTCCCTTCTCTCTACGATACATCGAAGAGCTCTGCCGAGCTTCGATCGTCGCTAACTTTCCACAGCTTCCGAGTAGCTTCGACGACGTGTCGAAGCCACCTCGAACCTACCCGTTTGTTCGTAACCTTTCCCAAGGGCGTTTCTCGTGTTCACTCGAACCGCGGGACACCTTGCTGCTAACTCCCCTCTCATTAGACTATAAGCCGTCTCTCTAGTCCCTTTAGGTCGCACCCAGGTTAGGGGTTAGGGTTTCGTAGGTCGTATCATCGTACAGTAGATAACGACTTGTCCGTTCGAGCGTATAGTCCAGAGGTCATGGGTTCGAGCCCGCGAAAAGGAAAAATTAAAAAACAGCTAGGCGCCATACCAACTCGTGACATTACCCCCCCCTCAATGGCGCATGACCTCATGCGAGGCGCCCTTGCCCATCTCCCACCCGGAGCGGTAGCGTGCTTTAGTCAGCGGCGAAGGCATCGGCTAGAAGTTGAGACCACCAAATACAGCAGCATTGAGGCGGCGAGGGGCGATCGGGTTCTTCCAGTGGAAGTCGGCTATGAGGGCCGGCGCATTGGCAACGTTGCACGCCGGTTCCCATGATGTATGCGAGTCGTCATAACCTTTCCACTTGACGAGGTATTGCAGTTGATGCCGGAAGATCCACGAATCCTTGATCCGCTCAACCTCGTACTCCTCGTTGCCCTCAACCTCGATCGCAGGCGGCTCCTCTGGCTCCCAGCCCGGGATCTCGCTACACGTGTACTTGCTAAGCAAGGAGACATGGAACACCGGGTGCACCGGCACCGACTTCGGCAGGACTAATTCATAATCCAAGTCTCCGAGCTTTCGCCGCACAGCATATGGTCCAAGGCGCTTGGGACTGAGCTTCTTGCTCAGCTGTTTCAGCTTAAGGTTTCGGGCATCAAGCCAGACATTGTCCCCTGGCGCAAAGACCGGTGCCTCTTGCATGTGCTTGTTGTAGTACACCTTCATGCGCTCAGCTGACAGCTCGAGCGCAGAGCACGTGTCATCGCGAATCTCCTTCAGGATCTTGAGCCGATCAGCGGCCGCAGGCATCGCAGACATCGGATTGATCCGAACCTGGATCTCAGGATGGTACCCCTGATGCAGGAAGAATGGGGAGTGCCCTGTCGCGGAGTGAACTCGGTTGTTCAGTGCGAATTCCGCGAGCGGCAGCTGCTTTGCCCAATCATCCTACCTGTGGCTTGTGAAAGCACACAGGTACTGCTCAATTTCCTGATTCCAGCGCTCAGTCTGGCCGTCTGTCTGGGGGTGGAATGCTGTGGACAGCGCCGGCTCGATCCCTAGCCCCTTGTACACCGCATGGAGATACTTCGAAGTGAACTGGGGACCTCGGTCTGATATGACCTTGGCCGGGGCCCCATGATGCTTGAATACATCGCGGATGTACAGGTCTGCCGCACCTTCTGCCGTCAGGGTCTCATGACAGGCCGAGAAGTGGACCTGCTTGGTGAAGCGGTCGGCAGTAACCAGGATCGAGTCGAATCCATCAGACTTTGGCAAGCCAACAATCATATTGGTCGTGATGATCTGCCACGGGCGCTCGGGGATCTCGTTCGGCTTCAGCGGACCCTGGGGCTTGGCTGGGAACGTCTTGGTACGGTTGCACACGTCGCAGGTGCTTACATACTCATTGACGAATTTAGACATCCCAGGCCACCAGTAGTTCCACGATACGAGCTCAAGGGTTTTGGCACGACCGCCATGACCGGCGATCGGCGAGTCGTGGTGGATCTTGACTATATCCTGCCGGAACTCTGCGTTCTTTGGGACATATACGCATCCACAGAACAGCAGAAGCCCTTGCTTGGCATTCCACTCCTCGAAACCCCTTTGCAGCCAGGGTGGCCCAAGGTCCTGCACCTTTTCAAGTGCTTCAGCCACTACGCGATCCTTCTCTGAACACTCCCTGATGCGCTTCAGAAGCGACTGATCGGCTGTCACCGAAGCATGGCCACGTCTGGCAGAGGCGATGCGGAAGCGATCCGGCTTGAGAACCACCTAATCGGTGTTATTGTCCTCATCGCCGATCTGATGGTCTGATCGACGTGACAGGGCATCAGCCTTTCCGTTGGACGTCCCGGCCTTGTGCGTGATGCGAAAGTCAAAGCGAGCCAGGAACAGCGACCATCGTGCTTGGCGACGCGTAAGATGCTGGGACGTGCGCCAGTACTCGAGGTTCTTGTGATCGGTGACGATCTCGAACTGAGTGGGTAAGCTCTCGAGATAGTGGCGCCAATCGTCCAGTGCCTCAATGATTGCGAGCATCTCCTTATCGTAGATCTCGTAGTTACGCTGGGCGGGGTCCATAGCGTGAGATCGGAAGGCGATAGGGTGCCATTTGCCGTCGTCCTGCTTCTGCATCAACACGCCGCCGGTGGCGTAACCCGAGGCGTCAACCTCAATGCGCGTCTCTCGGTTAGGATCGTACAGTGCTAGGACGGGAGTCGTTGCGAAGAGCCGCTTGAGCTTGTCAAAGGCATGCTGCTCCTCTTCACCCCAATGCCATGGGTCGTTCCCTGTGAGTCGGTCGAGTGGTCGCGAGATCTTAGCGAAGTCCTTAATGAAACGGCAGTAGAAGTTGGAGAACCCCCAGAACTTCTGAACATCTTTTTTGTTCCGGGGTACCGGCCACTCATTAATTCCTTTGAGCTTCGCAGGATCCATCGCCACCTCATCGCCACCGAACACATAGCCGACGTAGTCGACCTTGGGAACATCCCATTCGCACTTCTCAGGCTTCAGAAACAGATCATTGTCCTGAAGGCGGCGTAGAACCTTGCGTGTGACCTTCTCATGCTCCTCCTTGTTGGTGGAGAAGACGAGTATATTGTCCAGGTACACAAGGATCTTTCTGCCGATGATAAGATCGTGGAAGATCTCATTCATCATGGCCTGGAAGGTCGCAGGGGAGTTGGTGAGGCCGAAGAACATCACCAGGGGTTCGTACAGCCCCCGGTTAGTTACGAAGGCGGCCTTCCATTCGTCACCGGCTTTGATCCGGACATTGTTATAGCCCCATCTGACATCGAACTTGGTGAAGAGTGTGGCGCCATGCAGTTTGTTGACCATTTCGGCGATCAGCGGCAGCGGATAGCGATTCTTGATGGTGATCGCGTTTAACCGGCGGTAGTCCTGCACGGGTCGAAGTGTTCCTTCTTTCTTTTTGATGAAGAAGAAAGGGGAC